CAAAACTCCGTCCAAAAAAAAAAAAAAAAAAGAACCCAAAAACTGTTGCTGAAAGAAATGTTAAAACACTTAAACTAGTGGTTTTCAGTCAGTTTTGTTTTTTTGTTTTTTTTTGCTTCAGGGGACATTTGGCAATGTCTGGAAACATTTTTGGTTGTCACACCTGGGGCTGGGGAAAACAAGTTATGCAGCTGGAATCTAATGAGTGGAGGCCAGGGATGCTGCTGAACAGTTCCCCTGAACAAACAGAAGGTTACTCAGTCCAAAATGTCAGCGTGCCACGGCTGAGAAACCCTGGCGTGGTGCCCAGTGGAGAGGTAAATAGTGTTTATGGGCCAGAAGACTTAACAGTGTTAGGGTGTCAGTTCTCCACAAATCTATACATCCAATCCAGTGCCAATCAAATTCCCAGAAGGCTTTTATTTGTGTGTGTATATTACCAAGCCAGTTCTAAATTTCATAGGGAAATGAAAAGGTCCTAAAATAGCTGAAACCGGTTTGAAAAAGAATAACAAATGGGATAAACTAAGACCACATGACTGTAAGCCTTATTCTAAAACCACAGAGGTCGAGACAGTGCGATCTTGACTGCAGCATAGCCATGCGGAACGGGAGAGTCTAGATATGAACCAACACATATATATGGACAATTGATTTCCAGCAACGATGCGAAGTCAATTCAGTAGGGAAAGGAAAGTTGTTTCTTTTTTAACAAATGGTGTTTAACAATTGGGTATGCATATGTCGAAAATGAACTTTCATTTATATCTCACAGTATATGCAAATGTTAACTCAAAATGTATAAGTCTAAATGTGATACCTAAAACTATAAAGCTTCTAGAATAAAACATAAGGAAAATTCTTGGGGACCTTTGGTCAGGAAAAGATTTCTTAAATACAATACCAAATGCATAACCCGTAAGAGAAAAATAATTTGGGCTTCATCAAAATTAAAAACTTATACTCTCTGAAAAACTGTTGAGAGAATAAAAAGAGAAGCCAAGGAACAGGAGGGAAAAGTCACAAAGCAAAGCATATATCTTATAATGGATTTGTATCCAAAATATGTAAAGAACTCTCAAAACACAGTAAGAAACAAACCAATTAAAATGGACAGAAGACGTAAACAGGCAAGTAAACATAAGGAAAGATGCTTAATATCCATTAATAATAAAACACCAATTGCAACTAAAAGAAATGCCACTACACAACTCTTAGAATGGCTAAAATTTGAAAGATTGACCACATCAAGTGTTGGAGAATATGTGGAGGAATTGACATTCTCATACACAAATGATAAAATGTGCAATGGTGAAACTAGTTTGAAAAACAGTTTGGTAGTTTCGTAAAAGGTTAAACATATACCACCATAAGATCCTTTCTTGTGCCTTTACCCTAGAAAAATGAAAGCATTTCACTTCTCAGCCTTTTAGCTAAGATCTAGTGAAAAATGAAAGCACAGAAGTATGCAAAGACTTGTGCATGGATGTTCATAGCAGCTTTATATTGAAGAGTCAAAAAGTAGAAACAACCCAAATGTCTGTCAACAAGTGAATGGGTAACAAATTGTTGTATAGTCATACAATGCAGACAACTCAGTGATAAAACTGAGCTGCTGATCACACAACAACATGGATGAATCTTGAGTGTGTACTATTTGATTTCATTTACATAAGGTTTTAGAAAATGCAAACTTATCCCTAGCGTATTAATTGTTGAAAGCACATGTGTTGTTGCTTGGAGACAGGATTGGGAGGCTTAGAGTGGGGTGGAGATATTATAAAGTGATGCTAGTAAAATTTTGGTGGAGACGAATGTTTTCTATTTTGATTGTGAGGATTGTTTAATGATGTCAAAGTTGATTAAATTGCACACTTTAAATATGTGTGGTTTTTGAGTGTCATTTATAATTTTAAAATGTCATTTAGAAAATAAAATAGAATTGTTGAAAGATAAAAACAATTTCCCAGAAAACATAGCTAACAGAAAAAAAATCTAGAACAGGACAGAAAGACTATGTATTAAGAATCAAACCATAAAGTGCAAAATCAGATTAGTAAGAGGCAGAAAAAATTTTCTAAAAAGTAATAGAAGAAAAATGTTTAGAGCTAAGAGATACAGATCTTTAGGCTGAGAGTTTCACCCAGGATCCAACACCATAAACAAAAGATTCATAGTAAATTCACCTTTATGAAATACCAGAAAAGGCTCACTCAGCCAGGGTCGGCTGGGTGGGGATAGTGAGGAAGTGAGAAGTTGGGGGTGAGTCACCTATAAGCAAATAAGATCATCTGACATCAAGCCTGTTATCAGCATCACTGAATGATAAAATACAATGGTACAATGATTTCAAAGTTCTAGGGAGATTACTTTCTAACACACAAGTCAATGCTTAGCTAATTACCAATTAAACATGAAGGACCAAAAGAAGAGTCAAGAGATGCATGAAGCCTCGAAACCTCTTGTCACCTATGCTCTTCCTGAGACATTAACTGAAGATGAACTTACGCAAAATGGGGACAAAACCAGAAAAAAGGAGAAACATGAACGATATTTAAAAATTATGGAATATGGGAGTTTAGTGAAAATAAGTCTCAGGATGAGATTTATAATGAGGAATTAGTTTGCAGCAATTCTAATTTGTATGGGAAGTTAGTCAATGCCAAGAAGAATATTTTCATGAAGGAAAATGGAAAAGATTCCCAACAATAAATTTAATGACTGAAGTGGTGGTAATATTATGCACACAGTCAAGAAAGCACATACGTCTTTCTTCATTAAAAAGAATGCAAATTAGAAACCCCAGAATATATATTTGTGGGTGATGGAGTGAAATGAAATCTAAGAAGGTCTTGATGCAAACATAAATGTTATGTGGTTTGGATCAATTGAAGGAATGTAAGAAAAACAATTCATTTGACTTGAATCTTAGGAATATTCTCCTTGAAATAGCCCAAAGTTGAGATATTGTACTTCTAAAGGTCAGAAAGAAACCCAAGCAAACTGCTTAGCTCTGCTTTGAATAATATTTATGTAATCTTAATAACATCACAGTTGTTAATTTGTTTTTAACTTTTAGAATTTATTTATAAGTAAACCCCTCAAGGCTGGAGTATAGTTAGAGTGCCAAATGTACAAGTTCTCAATCTTGACAATGAAGTAACAACTGACAGAACATCTCTTTTCTCACATGGCATCAACAAATTCCACTTTCCAGGCTAAAAGCACTACAGTATTTCTGTTATTCTTCTTCTTCTAATGTTTACTTTTACACATTCAAACAACATACTAAACCTTGAACCGTACTTACATAATATAGTTCAATAATGTGGGTTGTTTTTAAGTTTTCAACTTTTAGGATCAATCTGTAAACATAATCTTAAATACTGAAATATAATTTTATGATCCCAGTGTACATGCTTTCCACCTTGATAATGTAAAATTATAGTCACAGAAAACAGAAGATGGGAGGTGGAAAAGGAGAAAGAGAAACACATGGAAGGATGGGGGCATTGTATCTTCATCTAAGAAAATGGGGAGTCAAGAGATAAATGCCCATACCTAGTGAAATAAATGGAGATGTAAGTTGTGAAGACATTTTCCTAAAACTACCTGGCTATGAGAGCCACCAACTAGTTTCCTATTTGGTTTCAAGATGCACAGACCCACACCCACACCCAACATGCCATTTCAGTGAATTGCATTTTACTTACAAGTACCCTCTACACTGCTTGCCTGTTGATTTTAACTGTTTCTATAAAAACCAAGGGCCATGAAGCACAAGTCCCTCTAATGCCAGGAGTACCTCAAACAATAACCATTGCTGGTTTAGCAACATGGGGCTGTATGTCCTACCTTAAAAGTGGTATCACAGGTTCCAAAGTGTCTGTCTTCTTTGAAGAATAATGTTCTTATTCATAGTAGGGTTGATAATCCCTATCCTTTAGAAGCTGGTAAAAAGGAAGTTAGAGCAGGAATTGTAAGAAGGTGTCACACGTGGGTGTGGGCAGGGCAGCTATGAGACAGGAGGGAGGAGACCGTGCAGAGATGGTCTGGGTATCACTGGACCCCACATGCAGGGAGGCTTCCTCCACCAATTAAAAACAGAATACTCTTTAAAGAAAAAGCTTTAAGAAATCCAGTCCTTTGAAAATCCTTTCTTCTGTGGTTATGGCAATTTAAGATTGTCACCTGGGATGGATAAGGTTTTAACCTAGTGAAATGGGTAAGAACTGTCCCCATTCATGATGTGCCAGCCTTAGAAGAATTAGTGTGGCATATGTCCAAGTTGCGGTCCCCAAGTAGACCAGAAATGTAAAAAACTTATCCAAACAATGGAAAAAAAAGAATGAAAACAGGACCTGTAAAGAATTCCTAAAGAATCTGCATTATATTGCTTGAGAGTAAGGAAATTTGGAGGTAAATCTGAGGGCATTTTGTGAGACTTAAACCACCATGGGGAACATTCCTTTTAAGGTGTCTGCAGGTGAACCAACAGCTTCTCTGGGGGCCTAGATATAATTTCTCAATAATAATTCTATCTAAAAGTGTCCAAGGATCTGAATTAATTAATTAACTAGTTCTGAGACATTGCTTGGTACTTTCTCACTGGAGAAAAAAAAAAACAAAGAAACTGCCTTATCATACTAAAGAACTCAAGATAAGGATCAATACCACCTTGGCCAGAGCTTATAGGTAGGTTGGCTCCCTGACCTTTAATGTAAAAATATTTCTTGCTTAAAATACCTACATGAAGACAGGGACAAGTTAGAGCTCTGTGTGTCTAGCTGTCCTTTGAAGTTCAGGGTAAATAGTGATTTTCATTTTTTAAAGTCATAGTTCAATTGATCTCACACGCAGTCAATTTCAGGTTTATTTCTTTTTACTTTCAGCATAACCCAAATGGGCATGTGCTACTAAGAATGACTAGAATTAAAATAACCACACCGTCTTCACAAGATAGCCAAGGAAGAAAAAAAAAATCAGCCTTCACATTTAAGTCAGTTAGTCCTTTTTTAATAAATTTGAATTCATTCATCAACAAGTTTCATATTGTATCTATCACTCAATTTTGCTGTTTTTTTCATGTCAAATAATACCAAAAAATTACATCAATGTGCTTAAGCAAAACTGGGTTTAAATTTATCTTTACAATAAAATGAAATCAACATGAGAATTGATTATGACAGCAATCGCCTATTCCTACTAGAATAATCCTGTACTTACCTTAAACACACTCAACTGACTTGTGAAGTAGAAACATGAGACAAGTGTGACAAAACATGTTCACGGGGTTGGTCCTAGGGAGAGGCACACGGGAGCCACTCTCTGGGAGGTCATTGTTTACCCAGGTGTTGGGAATTTAGTATTTCAGCAAAACATGGCACCTTTCAATGCAGTAAAAGAGGTAATCAATCCAAGGCACACTAGCTAGTGTCCTGGAAAAATTTAATTTACCTGGGCAGCTCTTTACCCCAAGATTCGATGTTACTCTAATGGCTCACACTGAGAGCCAGAGTCAATTCCAAGAGTAACAAAATATTTCACCAAGTGTTCGGTTTTGCTTACATAAAATGGCCAGAAACATGAACTGGTTTTCAGGTGGAGAGTTAAAATAAGAATTAAGTGATGGTTTATACTTTCAAGCCAGGAGATTCAAAGTCGGACACATTCTTGTTAGAACACACCACGGTGGGACAAACACCAATGGATTATCTACTAGATGCTGAAAACGAACATCTACAACTGCAATGTGCCTGTCCCCTTAAAACCAGCCCCAGACTTGTTCGGCATCACCTTTGAGATGATCCCCTTGGTGAAAATGTCAGTGCTGTGTTTGGACGAGAGAGACGTGCCTTTGAGGGAGTGACCGAACATGTCAAAGTTCTGGGTGCTGGCATTAAAAACACAAGATATTGCAGATGTACAGGTAGCTTCCACACCTAATGGAAATATTCTCATGACATACCTTCTAGTTCGTTTGAGATTCAGGGGGAAATGGATGTCGCATGGTATAGACAGTGGAACCCCTCCACAGTCCCGGGGTTGGTGAACAGGAGTAACACTTGTTTTAAGGAGCACTCAAGTCTATCAGTCTTTCTCTGTAGGGAGTTATGTAGCAGGGCTCTTCCATGATCTCAAGGATATCTGAATATGGGTAATAACAAACTGTCATAACAAGATTCTTCTGTAGATCTTGAGCCCCTGTGGCGCATTTTGGAAAGACAGGACTACTTAGAAAATTAACTTTTTATTACTTTCAGTTGTTAAGAAAGAAATCTCATTATATCCCCAATGATAATGTTTCTCTCCTTACGCAAGAGGTCTGGGTGTGGGTAGCAGCCACCTCCCAACAACGTCAGAGGTCCGGGTTCAGGATTCCTCAACGCGGCTCAGTCACTGGCTCAAATAACTACTGTGGAGTAATGAGAGGTCATTTGTACACAACAGAGACTCCAATTCAACTCTCTTCTGTTAACACAGAGTTCTCTTCTCAATGTTCTCACAAGTTTTAAAAATGGAGAAGCTATAAAATAATTTTGTTAGAAGAAAAGTAATTTTCTTCTGAAATGGAGTAAAGCAAACACATACCCAAGGATCTTAAAAAGTTTTCTCTTTTTGTTTTTACAGAATATATGTATGTATTTGTGTGTGTGTGTGTTTGTGTGTGTGTGTAGTTACAAACACTATTTATAGTATAGCTAATATGTTAACTTCATCACGGTGTCTACAAAGTTGTGGATCCCAGTCTTGGTGCCAAATGCATATAAAAAGCTCAAAAGCTATTATGACTATACCATGCAAATTTATATCCAGAAAACCTCGGGAAGGAGACTGCAGCTCCTTGGAGCCTCATGGGGTCTCTGCCTGTGATATTTGGGTACCTCAACTATGCATCAAAAAAGTTGTAAATCACTTTTCTCCCAGAAAGAATTAATGTCACAGTTCTGAACAGTATACATTATACACTTAAATAGACCATCGACTGTTTTTGTCCACATCCATGTACATTTTGGGGTCCCTCTTCCGCATGTGGACCTCACACCTTTAATTACTGGATACGGAAAAAGATATACCTGAAGTATTGAAAGGGATAAGGTCTTTGCAAATGTATTTTTTTCTTTAACATGATAATAATGATAAGGCCACTTACAAGGTTTTTCCCAATCTGTTTAACTTTTAGGATCCCCCATTGTTACCGATGGAAAAAACTGTCAGAGAAAAGCCAAAGCCAAAGGAATCCCTGGCTAGTCTCCAGATGAAAATAAAACCAGAGAGCAGTGATTAGGAGGAAAAAGATAGGAATGAAGGAGGGAAAAGGGCCTTAAAGGAGGTAAATGCCTCTAGCGTGAGATTTTGTGGATTATGTTTCGTCTGATGGTGGGTTTTGAACTGTTGCAGATGCCCACAAATTAAAGGTTGTTACAGCCACCAAAGAAAAATCAAGTAGTGGTCAGCTCATGGGGATAGTCCACACCACACGCATCCTCAGGGAAGGTGGTGCCCCTACCTATGTCGAGACAACTGGGGCCAGCCATTGGAGCACTGGGCTAGACTCTGGTCCTTGGTTTTGGATAGAACAGAGAGGGCGAGGCATACGTGGCATTTTGGGATAAAGTATTAATTTAGCAGTTCTTCCTGCAAATTTTGCTTTTTATTTTTTCTCCAAATGCTCAACTTCACTGTGACACCTGTTTGCACAACTGTAGTCATTTCAGTTTATGGATGCCTGTGATAGAAATATTGTTTACAAAAAATATATCATCTCTTTTTTTTTTTCTTTAGAAAGATCTCATCTAAATAGTAAGTTAAGGTTGCGTCTATGAAACCGGTGCACCTTGTCTTGTTTCTACGAGCTTTAAAAAGTCCAAATACTGATGAGGCTGTGGATCAGAAGGAAGCAACAGTGACTGTGTTTGCCGTCAGGTTGCCCTCCTTTGCCTCAGAGAACGGTCATGGGTCGTTGGGTGACGCGTGGTGTGTAGGGGTCATGTTCCTGCAGAATCCTAGTCAGTCTAGGAGTAGTTGGATGTGCTTATGAAGTATGTCAGATACAGAAATAAAGGCATGAGGATGTTTCTTAGTTTCCGAAATTGAACAGAAGTGTTTTAGCTTCAATCTTAATTTCTAGATAACAGAAAGTAGTTACATCACATAAAGGAAAATATGACATCGCATGCTGCCATGATAGCAAGCGTTAAGAAACAGAATCTTGGTAAATATACATATATATGCATATTATGCAAATATATTTTCTATTAACATACAATGTTATAAGAATGATTGATAACATAACTGCAAGGGGGAAAATCATCCTAGATGGTTTTACCTTAGAGTAACGAATAACCTGAGACGTCTATGCTTTCTGTTGGATATCAGGCCTAGAAATCCATACGAGATGTAGAGCACATTTTCAGTGATTGAAATGTCATTGGCAAAACGTGCCACTGTGTTCGCACATGACAGTGAAGCTGGATCCACTCCAAGTGAACAAGAGAAACAAACTACACACTGTATATTAGAGTACTTACAATGAGATGCCATTCACTCCCGATGGGTTTTCAAAAGACGGTCGTTCAGACATCAACGTGGGATCTATCTATGTTTAAGACAACAGGTAAGCACACTGCCAGTGGCTCACCCCAGCCACTAAACCATTACAGAAAACGTATGCCCGATGAAAACAAACCTCATCACCAGAAAAGCCAAGAAGCCTTCGCTTACTAAACTGAACGAGAGGATATGAAGTGAGTGACTCAGTTTAAACTAGCAATACCACTGTATGAGTTTTCAAAGATTAACTAAGAATGTCTTTCTGATTTTTAAACTAAAACATCTAACTTATGGTAATAAAAGACACATTTGGGGATGATATTGTGTTTCACGCCCTCATTCTCAAGGCATAATATTTAGATACTTGTCCCTTTCAATTAAAAAAGAAAAAAACTATGACTTTCTTTAATATGCATCCTGTGGTAAATTGTCCATAGCTGCAAAATGTATATATGTATGTGTATTTGTCTTCCATACACATGGGCACTGACTCCTGTGTGTATAAACATATACACATACATCCTCATATACACGTGTATTTTATATATATGCTGAGAAAGTTCACATATATATACAATTGCGTATGTATATATGTGTGTGTCTGCTTGTGTGTGTGTCTGTGTGTGTACAGGTATAAAAACTTGACAGGCAGAGTAATATTTCACTCGTGTTAAATGAAGTCTTTGAAAAATCAAGTACAGTCACTCAGTTAACATAGTACAGCCAGTAAACTAAGTTGAAAAGAGAAAAAGTGAATGGAAACACGATCCTGGACCATCTGTCTATGGCATTCACATCGGTTAGATCAGGTATTTTAATTTTGAGCTGCGAAGACCTCCTCCGTAGATGGGTCTTCTTGTGCGGGAGGCTTCTGTCCCCCAGGAATCGCCCATGCCCTTCTCGAGGCATGCTCTGTTTCCTGTACTGGATTCCTGAGTTGTCAAAGGATATTGCTGAATTCCTGGTATCGCCAACACCACCTGCGACCTCATTCATTTCGTTGTGAACTTCCAGCGATGTCAACAGAATGTTTCCATGAGCATCCACCTAATTGGAAGGAAAATGCACATGGTTAGACAGCCAGCAGGCCAATGAATCCGATTTCCCTATGCAGATCCCGGACAGAATGATGTCACGCCATCACCTTACGTGTTTTACGAGAAACTGTACATCTGTCAAACCCAGCACTCCGTTTTATTGGAAAATGTCATTTTGGAGGTTAATTGCAGGTGAGAGATTTTTATTTCCTTGATCTAAAAATGCTCGTGTAAGAGATTAGATGCAAGAAGGGGGAGCGGCTTTTTCAAATTGCAATTTCACATTACGGATACAAATCCTTACTGAAAAACTTAAAGTACAAATGACTTTCAAGCTGTTAACTTAGGTGCTCTAACCATTTTCACAACGATGCTTTGAATAAAAACTATATTCTCCCATTTGTCTTTGGAAATCATCTCGTTCCCTTTTCTGATGATCTAACACCCCCAAATTACTACAGAGAAACACATGAATAGTCCCAGGATCGAAAGGCATGCCTGATGACTTCCGTGGAGTAGATACACACACCCCCAACCCCAACTCAAGCAGGCACCCCTTGCCCAATACTGGTCCTGGCAGGAGACTTCCTTTTGAAGGGCTACATATAAAATAGACGAAATTCCCTTCCCACAATGGAGCCAGACTTTACAATGATAGCGTTTTATTCTGTGCCAAATGTAGCTTCAGACGTTTCATGATGATGCCAAAGGTCCACTCTGTTTGTGGGTTGGTCTGCCCTGGAACTTTGAGCCTTTCACAGAACATCCTGGGGCTGGCGGCCCCAGTGGAGTCCTTTCTGAAATGAACTATTAGCATCTGCTTTCTGAGCAGTTCCCATCCCTGCTACAGCGTCAAGGGCCATTCCACGGTCCCCTGGGCTTTCACTCCAGCAAGCCCCACACTTCTCTATTTCTCTTCTCTTTCTTTGCCTGGAGGGCCATTTTCTCTGTCCTGTTTTTGGCTGTGGAAAGCCTACCCCGTGTTCCAGTACTAGATTAAGTGTCTGTGGCTTCCTCCATAACTCTTTCACAAAACACAGTTATTCTGTGTAGGAATAATTTATTGCTGTATTAATTTGTGTCTTCCCGCCTTCTGCAATGTCATCAGTGGCATCCAGCTAGATGAGCAGGAGGTGAGGTGGTGAGAGGAGTCCTGCTCGAGAAGGCGCTGGGCCTGTGTGAAGTTCCAAGTGGGGATAGGACCACTGGTGGGATGACCTCAGACTTCAAGGGGGCTGGGACACAGGAAGGGCTGCACATCCAAGGACCACTCAGACTTTGGTGGAAAGGCACCAAAGAGGACTCTCAGATATCTACAGGTTTGGTAACACCATTCTAGGTCACTTCATTATGCTTGGGGAAAGTGAGGTGGTCATCGGGGTAACGTCCCCCAGGGAGGTTGGAACCCTAGGATCAACCCAGTTTGGTTCAACCTTGTGTAATAAAATGGTGAGTTATTTTCAGTTGCCATGAACCCCCAGGTTGAAGGTCATGTAACCTGAGCATGCCCAGATGGACCAAGCACACAACCATAGGTGGAGCCTAACTGCTCAGCAAACACCACATGGCAGGATCCAGCATCCAATCAGATTGAGCCCTTGTGCCACCCCATGGCACGATGCAGCCAGACCACACCTCCCAGCATCACCTCATTGCAAGAGCCAATCAGAACATGCCTCATTACCCTATGCCTATAAAACCTGCCCCAAACCTCAGTTCCACGAAACAGATTTGAGCATTTCCTCCTATCTCCTTGCCAGCTGACTCGCAATAAAACTTTTATTTTCTCAAAATTCGGTGCCATCGTATTGTCTTCCAGCACATCAGGCAGTGAGCCCATTCATCGCTCGGCACCAAGCTCACAATCCTCACCAGATTCCGTGAGTATGTTACCCTATGCAAAAGTGACTTTGTGCTTGTCATTAAGGGCACATACCCCAAGATAGGAAGATGACCCGGGATTGTCCAGGTGGGCCCAATCTCATCACACCTTCAAAAGTAGAGAACTTTCTCCAACAGGAAGCAGGAGAAAAAGTCAGAGAGATAAAAGCAGAGGAACTCAAAGCCTGAGGACTTGAGTCACCCTCGATGGAAAGGCTGCAGGGAAAACATAAGAAGGAACAAGGCAGCTGATAGGAGCAAAGATGGCCCCAGCTGACAGCCCAAAATCAAATAATCCCATTAGAAAATGGACAAAGGATCTGAATACACATGTCTCAAAGGAAGACATACAAATGGCAAACAGGCACATGAAAGAAATACTCAACATCACTAGTCAGGAAAATGCAAATCAAAGCCACATGAGATATCTCACCCCAGTGAGAATGGCTACTATCAAAAAGACAAAAATAACAGGTGCTGGCAAGACAGCCAAGAAACAGGATCTCTTAGACACTGTTGGTGGGAATATAAATTCATACAGCCATTATGGAAACCAGTAGGGAGGTTTCTCAAATAACTAAAAACAGAACAACCGTAAGATCCAGCCAAGGCAATGGGGACCTCAATTCACAACCACAGGGAGTTGTACTTGACCAAGCACCTGAGTGATCCTGGAAGCACAGTTAACCCCAGAGCCTGCAGAAGGGAAAGGAACACAGACTGCCAGTACCTTAATTTCAGCCTCCTGACACCCTAAGGGTAGGACCCAGCCGAGTCTCACTGTACCTGCACGTCTGGCCTAACAGAATCATGAGATAAAACCAGGTGTCATTTAAAGCTACTACATTTGTGGTACTCTGTTACAATGGTAATCAACACTACTATAGGAGGTGAGAGGGAAGGTACATTTGCATTGTGCCTCAAAGAATGAGTAGAAATTTTTCAGACAAAATGCAGCAAAAACATCACAAGTGAAGCTTGAAGAGTACCTGAAATATTTTGAGAAAGGCAAACACTGTTCCCAGCACATACTAAGCCTGAGACAGATGAGGTCACGATCGTCACCGCCATGATCACCTTCGTATCCTCTTATCACAAGAGAAAAGTACACCTCGTGCTGGGTGGAAACAGATTAGATTCAGGCCAGTGAGGTTTTTGTTTTCTGTATGTCAGGTGAAAGGATTTCAATTTAACTCTTTAGGGAACAGGAAGAGTAATTTCTAGGTAGAAAGTCATAGATTTCTGAAGTGCAACTCAAGCTATAAGAAATTGAATTTGAGAAGAGAGCGTGCAGAGCGGGGCCGCAGGGAGAGCGCCCTGCAATGGTCTCTGTTTCCTTTAGGGCGGTCTGGAATGGAAATGCCCGAAGCCCATGAATAACTGCTCCCCTGGCGACTGCAACCCATCTTGGGGTTTTCCCTAAGCCTTGAGCCACACACGGCATGCCCACAGCAGCAACGCTGGGCCTCCGCCTGCCCAGTGCTGAATCTCTGTAGCTCAGGGGCTGGGGAAGGAGTGGAGAGTCACTCAGCACCCCAATCCCATTCCGGCCCATGCACTCCTGTTCCCTGTGAGCTCCTAGCAGGAGCGTTCACACGGCAGCAAGTGTGCCATGAGTCCGGGTGGGGCCAGTGCTTCTAAACCAGTGCTACATCCTATAGTGCTAGGATGAACAGTGTCACTGTGGGTCTTCCCTGTCGTTTACGGCCAGCATTGGTTTAGAAGCGGTCAGAGAGTGACCTCATCTGTCCTCCACTGGATGGAGTGGTCTCCTTAGAATGGAGGACGGCCAGGATGAGAGCGCTTGGAGATGGGAATGGACCGAGATCACACCACCCGTGCTGGAAGGCCCTTCATGGAGACACATGATGTGGGAGGTGAGGAGGGCATTTTCTTGTATTTTTTTTATCCAGCAGAAGGAAAATTCTAATGGAGCTTGTATCTCAAAAGCACTTGGAATGTTAGACCTTGGTAAAATTTTGACTTTTTCTTTTTTTTTTTTTTTGAGGTGGAGTTTCACTCTTGTTGCCCAGACTGGAGTGCAATGGCGTGATCTCAGCTCACCGCAACCTCTTCCTCCTGGGTTCAAGCAATTCTCCTGCCTCAGCCTCCCGAGTAGCTGGGATTACAGGCGTGTGCCACCACGCCCAGCTAATTTTGTATTTTTAGTAGAGATGGGGTTTCTCCATGTTGGTCAGGCTGGTCTCAAACTCCCAATCTCAGGTGATCCTCTTGCCTCAGCCTCCCAAAGTGCTGGGATTACAGGTGTGCACCACCGCACCTGGCCTTCTGTTATATATCTGTCCTTTCTGTTTTCTTTCCATGGGATGATTAGCAGGAAAACTCTTTAAATGACAAAGTATGTCTGCATGTCTTTAAGACAAGGGAAGCATTCCTTGGTTTGGGAGACAGAGTTTCTCATTGTACCAAGAGAATATGGCAGGAGAAGCCCAACAGTTAAATTCAGGTGTGGCTGAAACAGGTGCCCATGGCAGTAGCATGTCCCCTGTGCAGGCCACCTAGGGCTAGCTGTGGGAGTGCTAGGGCCACATCCTCCTGGGGCAAGAGTAGCCATTCACTATCCCTGAGAAGGGGTAACCTGAACCTGCCCTGGATGCTGCAGGGAGGAGGGCTTGGCTGGGCAGCCCAGCTGGTCTTTGCAGGAAGAACGATTCACAGCAAGATTGTCCAGGACAGAAGCTTGTCCTCTGGTCTCTATCTCCTTCCAGCACCTTCTATGGTACCTTGTGCCACAAAGGAAAGACGTGGTGGGGAGAATGAGCTGCCTGGCTCACACTGGGAATCTTGTTGTGGGGAGGGCCTGGGAGGGGGGTTGGCCAGTGTGTTCCTGTTCATTTGGGGTGTTCCATTCATTCCATTTACTGCAACGAATACGCTTGGTACCCCACCAAATACGTCTGATTTTGAATCATGAATCAGAAAGTATATTAGGTTACCATGTAAAGGAATTTGATAAATTGAGGTCATTTATCAAACAAGCTCAATTTGATTTTATTAGAATGTCCAGCATTTTAAACAGTTCTACTTAAATGGTAAGCTTTTGTGTTTAAAATTTATCTGATGTTGAGTCAGAAGATAATCAAAGGTGGAAGATGCTTGTAGTATTTT